AGACGGAGGCTGAGCTGCTGTTGCCCCTGCCGAGGCCGCAGACGGCGGACGCGGAGGAGAAGCCCCGTCTTCCCAGGAGAGAGCTGGAGGTGTAGCACTGTCGACTCATGGTGGCTGGGGGAGACGGGAGGTGAGGCGGTAACGGCAAAGCAGAAGAGCAAGAGAGGAGCAGGGAGTGAAAGAAGGAGATCTCCTTTAGCTTCTCTGAGGCAGAGCCCTTCTCCTTATATACCTTTCAGGAGGTGCCTGAGATGCAAAAATTTAATTTATCCACTGGGTTTGGTCTGCCTGGCAGCAAGGAATGGCTTCCAACATTTTAAACCCACAGCAAACACTTCTATCTCATACGAAATAATGTGGAAATTAAAATAAACTGCTTTGCTTGCAAGCTTCAGTTTCAGGACTTATATTTTACTTAATTAATCTGCTTCCTTATTGTGTAATTATAGTTTAGCAAAATAATTCAAGGGGTTTTTATTCATGGCTTGTTTACGGTTCGGTTTCACCACAGCATTTAATTATGTTTCAGGACCTCCTGCAAAATGTCGTGGCGATGCCGCCTCTTCCAGGGTCTCTCGCCAGCTCAGGGCTGGCTCTTGAGCAATGACCGGTGGCGATAGGGGAGCAGGAAGGTGTATCTGTCAAAGCACAGCACTGACGTTGGCGGGAGTGTTCTCGTAAGCGTTCATTTCTTCCTCTCATGGGTACGGCTACGGCTCTCGTAGGCGATTTCGGTTGCGGCCGTGTCTGCCGGCTCATGTGCCGATAAGTGGAGCAGGATGGGGTTGGTGGTTTCTTTATCGATGGAGCGTGAGCTGCGCGAGGTGGTGCTGAGGAGGAACTCGGTCACGGGGTGGATGCTCTGGCAAACTGGGGGTTCGTGCACATGAAGTCGAGGCACTGGTCCGGCTGGGCTTCATGTGCCCCTTTGAATATGTGGGATTGAAGAGGAGGCATTTCTGGGAAACGCTCCGCTGCAGACAGCGATTTGTTGCCGAATTATGTGCCTGGGGAAGGTGATAATTGTGTTTAGTATCTGGGTGTGATGCGACTGGGGCACACGGCGAATTCGCGCAAGCGATAGCTGGGGATGCAACAGAGACGTGAAGCAAAGTGTTACAAACAGGTTGAGAAATGTTAGCTGGAGTGAACTTTTTTCCTCGTATTCCTGTGACACACCTATTTGACATTAAATTATTCTAGTAATATCTGTTAATGAGAAGGCGCCGTACCGTCTTAATTAAAATTCTTAAAAATATTTTTGAATTTATTTGGAAAGAAATAAAGTTCCTTTTTTGCCTTAACAAAGGGGTCTAATCACAGAATCACAAGTGATTGCATAGCTTGCCCTAAGAAGTCTTTGCATCTTTGCTGGGGCAAAATTAACTGGTTCTGGGAGGATTCTTAGTCAATTCTATTGTAACCTTGAAATAGGTTGTCTTGAATTAAAAATAATGCAAAGGAATTAGGATGATTTATAATATTTGTGGAGTCTTTCTGGGTAAAGATCTTCCTTATATTTTGCAGGTCTCATAATGGCTTGAAACGAACTATAAAATACTACATGCAGTTATAATCATGCAGTAGTTCCGTTGTAGCCGCATTAGGACGCACGTCTTGCAACGAGATGTACTTCCATTTGTGAGATTGAGACAGCTGGAGAAAGCAGACGAGCTTTTGGGCACTGTGTCCTTCACATCATTCTGCCCGCGGTAATCCAAGCACCAGGATCTCTTGCTAATAACTGAAAGGGGGAAATAGCCTGGAAATATATTTTATTTTGTGCTGAAGCGTTGGTGCAAGTGCTGTAGAGGACAATGGGGTGTGTGGTCTGCAGCCACACCTGGAGAACCGCCTGGGAACAGGGCATTCACGGATGGGCTGAAGCATCTCTTAGCCTCTGGGTCGGTCCGTACAACATGACTCACGAGCTCTTTTAGGTGGGCATAACCATGGGCAAGCCAAGACACAGGGGAGAAGCCAGGCTGTCAGATTACTGGCTCAAGTGGCTGTAGTCCTGCTTTCCGGGTGCCTCAGCCCCGCATGCTGGCTTGATGCGGCTGCTGTGGGGCAGAGACGAGGCGTTGGGGATGGTGACCAGGAGCAGCCACTGCTCCGAGCACAGAGAGAGACTCCAGCTCCCTTTCATGGCAGGAAAGACGTGGCCCTTCGTCCTTGAGGGCAGCGGCTTGCCGGTTTTTCCAGCTGTGAGAAATCTGGGTCTCGTTCGGATCAGGTCCCTGCTACCCTCCGTATCTCTGCTCGGCCGCCCACCGTAGAGTGCCGTGTGCCGCGTGGGCGATACACACACCATTTGAGGGCTGTAGACCATCCAAGCGCCCGGTCTTGTTGGGAAAGCAGGGAAAAATGCCGCTCGTGGGCCAATCGTCTGTGTTCCTCCACTGGCTGCAAGCCCTGAGATCCCTTCTCCCTGGCTGTTTCCCTGCGGATCGAAAGCAACAAACCTGCGCTTCAACCTTTGGCTCCTCCTCGCAGCCCTAAGAAGTGGCTTCTTCCAGGTGCCCAGCCTTGCACATCAGAGGGAGACAGTTCAGGGCAGCGCTTGTGGTTTCCATCTGCTGAGCTTTCACAAAGCCGGTTCACAGTCACATGGTGGAAGCCCTGAGCACTGGTTACATCAGCTTCAAAGGAGGAAGCACCCTGACGTGACTTGGTCTTCTGAAGAGAAGGATTGCAGTCGCTTTTGTTTCGTCGGCCACGCACACGCACAGCACTGGCTCAAGTCAGATGCAAATGCCTTCTTCACAGAGGCCTTCTTCATGACTCCATGCTTTGTCCCAGCTGATTGCAGGTCAGATAGTGTTTGAAGAACTGTAGAAAGGGACTAACCTTCCCCTTTACGAGGAAGAGGTGAAACCACTGTTTTCAGGCTGACAGCATTCAGCAAAGTTTTAAAGCAGCAGCTTACACCCAGATTTACCAGGGAAACCCCTGAGGTCCTTGGCCCTAAATGTGCCTCAAACTGTGGTGGCTTCCATGAGACTTAAGCCTTTGAGATTTACATGTACGCAGATGCATTAGGACAAATTAATTTTGCTTGAGCACCTTACTAAATTGGGACCTGTTGAGCCATCCGTGCAGATAGGGAGAGCCTAGGGGCTTTTCCAACCTCCTGTTACAACTCCAGCTGTAACAGCCCTGCCATCCAAGTCTGATTTCTCCCATTGAGAAAACCGCTTTTGAAGACCCTCTCCTGAGAAAACAGGGTTGGCAGGGCTTGGCCGCGCCAGTGCTCTCCCTCCCTCCCTGCAGGCTGGGCAGTTTTTGTGGCTCCTTGTGAAAGGGACCGCGAAGTCACCATTAAAATGGCTAATGAGGCCCCTGGGACATCTTCCTCTGGTTTCACGGGTCCAATCCTCCAAAGGTGGCTGTTCCCAGTCTCTTAGCTGCAGTTTGATTCTGCTCCCACATCAAAGCAGATGGTGGATTTGTGGGGACCTGGGTAGAGATGATGGTCTGGGCTCCTTCCATCGCCACTGGGCACCTTGCTTTCCTCCCAGCAACCTTGCTCCACAGTAGCTGTTCACCCTCAGCCTGGCTTCTCCCTGGCCGTTTATGCTGCTTTGGGGCAAAAAGATGGACATGATAATTCCTGAGGTTCCTTCCAGGCCTTTCCCATGATGAGCATCGGTGGTCACTGCCCAGATGCACCACCTGCATTTGCAGTGCTGGCAGATAAGGCCTTGACAAAACCTTTACCCTCCTGCACTCTTTCTGCGGGACAGTAATAAACTATGGGTGACCCATGTTGGTCGCGTCACCAGGATGGATGGAATGTTGGGATATCATGGCAGTCAGCTAAGCAGAAGAGGTTATTGCTCCCAAAGGTGATGTCTCATGCAAGGAACATGGAGAGCCGCCTACTAGCCAGAGCTGGATGTCTGCCCTGCTTGTGTCCTCTGTGATGCACTGGGCCATGCTTGGTGCCCTGACTGCAAATACAGGTGCTTCATTCAGGGCAACTTTGTCATATTCTGGGTGGTTCTTTATCCGTGTGATGGAAAATGTGGGTGTTGGAGGCAGAGCTGCTGTCTTTCAGGCAGAGCTTCTCTGACTTTTGGCTGTTTGACTGCCATAGGCAGGGTGCCACCAGCACCACAAGGCAGCCTGTTTGGATTTTTTTAAAAACTCTGCTTCGATGGTGTCACCAGGTGACCTAAGCCGAGAAACTTTCCTTCATAATTCTAATTTACCGTCTTATTTTGCAAGAGACGAATAGGTTTCCTACCAAACACCACGGGAGTCCACCCCCTTCCTTTGTAACGTTTCTCTTTTGCATAGGAATTTGTAAGGCTTTTGCATCATCTGACCGACTCTGTGGCTCTGAGTAATGGGGTGGAAATGGCATGGCACTGTCATGGTGGAAGCACAACAGCCAGGACTGAGCAGAGGGAGAGTAACTGCCTGCCAAGGGCACGAGGTTTGCACTGGGAGTGTTTCTCTGGGGAAAGCTGGGCAATCCTTGTAAAAAGCAGCCATGAGAACCACGTCTGAGGTTGGAAATACTGCTGTGCTGTTTCACGGGACAGTTGTCTCTTCTCTTCTATGATACAGACTTTTTTAACCAAAAAGCATGTTCCTTCATGTGCTAAGCCAACCAGGGAGTCCAGAGATGCCCTCCAGCAGCCGAGTGAAAGGGGAGAGTGTGGGAGGAGGGAAATTCAGCCACTGAATTTCGACTAGTTCCCATCGATAGGTCTGTAAATCTATGCTTGTGTGTGCACATGAATATACATAATAATGACCATAGAAAGTAGCTGTTCAGTGTGTGTGGTTAATGTAATAGAGTTAATTTTGCAAACAGGTTTCTTTAAAAAAAAGTGAAGCAGAGACGACACACAAACATTGCGTGCAGTTCATTGGCAGCAGAGCAGAGAACGCGGAGCTTTTATCGGCAGCACGATCTCTGTGTGCCGTGTCGAATTAAAAAGCATCCCTCTGCAGAGAGGGACAAGGAGAGATGTTCGGTAGAGAGCAAACCCTATTACTGGCCTTGTAAAAACGACTTGGCAGGCGAGACAACGTAAGAGGATAAAACCACTTCTAGCGTGGGAGTCCTCTTACCTGAATTCAGCGGCCTAAAAACTAGTCACCGAGTTGAAGCTGGAGGCATGAGCACCGTGAATAGTCAATGAAAGAACTTGGTATCATCAAGCACAAGGTTGTTTTCTAAAGTCACCGGTGCAGGAGAACCTGGAGACAAGGAGTCACACTTTGCAGGGCCATGGGGGCATGATTCAAGAGCAGAGGTGGTACCTGTATGCGGCTACCAGCCTCAGCGAAATAAAAGGACAAATATGAACCAGGAGAAGTAACAATGCTGTGTTTATGAGCACCTATTCATTAAGCTTTCCAGATGGACACTCAGATTAAGGAGATTACAGCAGGTACAGCTTCTAGAGGACGTACCTATTATCTTAATGAATGGTTGGAGTCACTTTTGTGATTCATTTTGCCACCAACACGCAAAAAACTCGCGATGTGTCACTCCAGAGGTGGCAGCTTGGACCATAAGCTCTGCATTATGGTTGTCTCCACTGGGTTAACTAGAGATAAAGATCAGGATTTGTCCTAGAGGAATTTGCAACCAACTTCTGTTCATCACAGCCCTAATACTCAGAAACGCGTGCTCCAAAGTTACCTAAAGCCCAGGTGCTATCTGCCCTGGAGAACAGCCAGCTGAAACGTTGGGCACCACAGCCTCTATTTCCGCAGCTCAGCAAGCCTACAGGGTTGGAACCTCCATTTCCAGAGATTAACTCTCTGAATTGCTAGCAAACCACACATTCAGGGAGATAAAGGCAAGCAACGGTAACGATTATACCTCTGGACTGGTACTCCCTCCTCCC